GCTGTTATGGATGAGATCAGGGAACTGCGTATCGACGTCAAGTTCCGATGGGTTAAAGGTCACCAGGACGACAGCCCTCGAGTCCTCCACATCCTCCCCCGAGACATGTTACAGGGAACCAGAATGTACAACGGCTGCCTCGACCGCTGGCCAATCCTGAACATTGAAATGGATACTGTGCCAAAAGCCCAGTGGACTTCAGGATCACTCCATCCCGTGCCCTAATTTACCCTTCACCAACGAGCGCGTCATCTTTCGGCACAAGGGTAAGAAACACTCGCACGTTTCCACCCCCGTGAGATGCACGAGGCCCTTTGGGAAGACAAAATCAAGGCTCACTGGAACAGCGCGAGGAAAGAGTTCTTGACGTAGCATATTCAGAGGCAGAATGGACAGAGCGATGGAACATTATCAACTGGGAGGCAATGGGTAGGGCAATGAGGAAGGCACCACTTGGCATCCAAAGATTCATCACCAAACATGCAACAGGCCACTGTGGTGTAGGACGCCAGCTGCAACGCCGCCAATGGCAGGCTCACAGCGATTGCCCACGGTGTGGAACAGCCGACGAAGACACCCTCCATGTTGCTACGCTGCCAAGACCCAGCATCCATCCAAAAGTGGAACCAGGAGATTCCAAGCTGAAAACTTGGTTGCAAAGCGCCACACAGACCCCATGATGTCCAAACAGATCCTGACCCAACTCCATCACTTGCAAAAGGGACACAACACTCTCCTGGATGGGATCTGAACTCCTAGCACTGTACCGGCTCCGTGCCAGGCCAAACTGGGTGGTGTAATTTTCTACTTGGCAGAATCGAATCCCACTTTGCACTGCCACGAGCTCCACTTACACTCCATTGAAAACAAGGTGATGGCACCAGCTGGCAACTGCCTTGGCAAATGAACGTGGATGCTTCACTTCCGCATGTGGGAGCACAGGAAGATGCCTACACGGTGCAAAACAACCCCCACCCAACTCTCCACCTCTCCACCCTCCGACAGGAATCCTGAAAGAGTACTCCAAAGGTGATGCCAACATTACCTCCCACCGACCGCTGGGCCTCGATCTTGACTACAAGAAATCAACCTCAACCTGTCCACTCCCAAAAACCCCCGCTGGCTCGAAACATCAAACTGCGCTAGGGCTGCCATGGACGACTTCGCACAACCTACCACCGCCGACACAACAACAATTCAACGATCAATGCACACTACCTCCAAACTGGCCGAACCACTACAAATGAGTAACATGCTTTCAAATCCTGGGTATTGCCTTGCGCTCCAGGTGCTGCCCTTGCCAGCTTCTCCTGCACTCTCGTGCAGCATTGTCCACTAATGGGGGGCCCATCCGGGCCCCTTGAGAATGACCTGACACTGCGCAGAATTTATGTGGATGACGACTCAGCTAGGTGGGGGCTTCCCCACCAATTGCCCGCGTCACTAAAGCCACTCCATGGCCATAGTTTGTTAAACTAACGAGTATTTTACACCCTCGCGGTCAGATTGTGCTTCGGTGCTCTGGTCCCGTTTTTGGTATGGTTCCGACATCCTACAGGGCGGAGGCTTATGGCATTCTATCCCCTACTTGCCTACTGCAGAGATTGCTGGAGTTCTACGACCGAACCAGCATGAAGACTTATGTACACCTGTGCGACAATGAATCCGTTGCCAACAAGTGTGCTGGCTGTCTGGATTACGAGGGCTGGTACCCCAATGATTCCTTAGACTCCGACTGGGATGTCTTGCAGCAGATCGAGGATTCGTTTCGGGCTGCCAACACAGTGCCCAAGATGGAGCACATCAAATCGCACCAGGACAAGCACAAGGGCATCGAAACACTACCTTTGAAGGCTCAACTGAACTGTAGAGCCGACAAACTGGCAGGCAGTTACATGACCCGACACATCAAACAGGACCACTCCAAGGTGCTCCGATTTCTGGCAAACCTGGCCCAGCTGCACCTTCCCAAAGGAACATGCACGTACAAGCTTTCCAGGACACTGCGGCATCTCAGGAACGACCAGCCATTGTTCGACCACATTGTCAAACTGAATCCTGATTGGGACGAGGACACCCCCGCACTGGTTGATTGGACAGCCCATGGTCGTGCTGTCAACCGTCATGAGATCCACAAACCAACAATTGTAAAGTTTCTTTTTCAATTGTTGCCAGTTGGGAAACGGATACACCGAGACGACCCCAAGTATGATCACCACTGTCCCCGTTGCGGCGGTGATCATGAGACTGAGACCCATGTTTACAGATGCCCGCATGTTGACGTGGATTTGTGGCGAGGGACCATGCAACGAGCGATCAGTACAAAGTTGCGCAAGGACACCACAGACCCCTTCCTCATGGAAATTGTTCTTGATGGGCTTCAATATCACTTTGAAGACCGGTTCCTACACCCGTGGCATTACCCAGAACGGTATAGGGATCTTGTTGACACTCAAAATCTCATTGGTTGGGATAATTTCCTGAGAGGACGTTTGTCCAAGCACTGGGCCAAGCACCAAGAGGCCTATTTGCATAGGGTCAGCTCCAAAGAGACCACCAAAACCGGACATATGGCATCTGTTCTGATCCAGCAGTGGCGGAATCTGTGGGAAGACCGGAATGCCGCCAGGCACGGCCGGGATCAGGAACAGATATGGCGCAAGAAACACGAACAGCTCCAACGAGAGGTTGAGCTCCTGTATGAAAAAGCGGATCTGCTCCCAGAGCATCTCCTTGATACCATCTTCAAGCGACCCCTGGAGGAACAGATGGCCAAAGGGCCGGGGGATATCAAAGTGTGGCTGGCCAATTGGCTTCCAGTTGTTGACAAAGCAATGAGGGATGAGCATGCAAGAGAGCAGCCTTCCCCAGCAGGGTAACTATGCGCCGATGTGGGATTCCCATAGCAATAGCGGGCGATTTAGCCTAGAGTAGATAGTTAGTCGTACAGCACCCTCCGGAGTTTTGTTCAATTTCTCCAGTGGGGGGCTTACACTAGGCCCATCCTAAGTGGGCGCCCTCGTGCGCCTGGGGAATATGGGTTCGTCACGGCACCGTTCAGCGGATCGTCTGACGAGGTGTAGCCTTTAAAATAAAATTTTGTTATTTTTTAAATGGCGTATACAACAGTGGTTGTTGTTTTGACCCTGACAGTTCCGTCTGGATGCTGTCGGCTCTCTCTTGGGCTCTTCTTGCCAATCAGTATCCTGTCGGCAATCCTTGTGGATTCTGCCGACGACTCTTCCTGTTGACGCGATTCTGCCGACGAAACTCTTCTTCGGCTTGGATTGGATCCGTCCTTAGATCCTCTCTTGTTGCTGTCGCTGTTGCGTCGATCTTGTACTTGTCTTCGGCACGACGATCCTCTTCGGCACACCGACCACTGCTCTATCCTCTATCTGTTGTGGATAGGCAGCCTTTTTCAGTAGTATGTTAGATTCACTAAGCTCTCTAGTTTACCATTGTCGTTGCTATTGAGATACTACTGAAAAAGTGGGTTTTGTGTTTTTGCCTGAGGTAAAGGGCTGAATCCCTAGTGGCGAGTCCCCAACACCCACTCTTATCCTAATCTAGTCTGGTTTTAGCTGGTTTTAGTAGAAGCTTGGCCACCTGCGGGCCCTTTTGGTAGGTAACGCCTCTGCGACTAGTAGCCCCTCTGTGCAGGATCTGTTGTTGTTGGGAACCCATTCATCATGTGCCGGCGTTCCGAAACCGATGGCGATGTGACTTCTTTTTAGTAGATAATGACTTAACCATTGGATATACCAAGGGGCACAAAGGGTAACATACCACGTACTGAAGTTGTTTCCCCCGTCAGTAGTAGATTCCAACGTACGTCACTTTTCAACCTGGAGCACCGGTTGCCTAATTGGAACCTTGGACTTGGTTGGGAAGATGTGGTTGGGATGTGCTTCGCAAACGAGACCCGAGGTCTCGTTTTCAGAGTTACCTACAATTGCACTTCTTATATGTTCGCCACTGGATTCCTTGTCACTATCAGTTTCATCCGTCTGTTCGGTGCCTCAATACAAGGTTGATAGGCTCTCATGTGACTTGATAGAGCTTTCTGGGTTGTAAACCAATCATCACAGTAGTCACAACAATGCCAAAAGATTTTCTACATAGGTGTAAATCAACTCGTAGCTTGGAGAAGTCACTTTTTAGCCTCTGGAAAGTACTACACACCATCAAAAATGTGGCTTCAGAGGTACCAAGGGACCGCCTTTCCGGTAGAATTTGGCTTCGATGTTATAAAATGAGGGTGTACTTAGCAATCCATAAACTCGTCCTGCTGCTTTCTCTGTATGTAGTACCTGTAGTTTTTGTCCTTGAGACATAATAACCGAAAGGGCAGGACTGGGTTTGGAAGGCCGTGGCTCTATCTCCACGATGTAGCATTGCTAGTCGAAGCTAGTAATGTGGAAGTTCATTCCACGCACAGGTCTTCCACATCTTCTTTGATTGGCTGAGAGTGCGGGAAAGATCTCAAGGGTTCTTTGAATGGAATGGCTATGATTGGCTATTGAATCATGCATGCTAGTCTTATCTACGAAGACTAGGGTTATGGTGATGCACGACTGACATCAGTCACGTGTGCGAGTCCCCTGACTGAGGGAAATGGTGTATTGCACTAGTGAGCAACTAGTATAAAGGTATAGTTCAGTTTTGCTAATTTCTACAAGATTTCTGGACATCACAGTGTAAGCAGATTTGAATCCATTTTTGTATGGTACATGTACCGCAAGGGTCCGAAATCGGGAGAATTAATAACCTAGTTTCAGAAATGAATTCTAAAGGTCCACCGAAAAATCTGTAAAAAGGTTTTTAGTTGGATTCACGGTTTCACTTATGTTTGCATAGACTACTATAGGATGTTAGAACTTAGTTCCACGGACATTAGTTCAATTTCACTGAAATGGACTCTGAGTTATTTCACGGCTTTGGAGTATCAATCTAGTCCCCGACCCTGTCAAAATCGGCAAAAAAAGGATCCAACAACTCTACTGGTATGCTAGATCCAGAAAACTGTAATTGTAGGAATGGAACCAGTCCATGGTTCTACAGAGGATCCTTCTGCGTTCACCGGCATCCACAGACTGTGTGTTATTTGACTGTTTCCTAAACGAACCAGGTATTTCAGGATTCTTTTCATCTGTTAAATGATTCATAACGTTCTGAAAGGATTGCAACCAATTAGAGGAGTTTTGGTGGTGCTTGTTACCCACCACTCCTGCTGCTGGGACAGTCCGAAGGAGAATGTCATAGATAGCAAAAAAGGCATCTTTGGGTGTTTTTTTAATGTCTTCATACGCTTGATCCAGTACTTTCAATACACTCCCTTCTTGGTACTGGTGATGATGTTGACTGTGGACCCAACACTTGTGGTTCTGTACAATCAAGGAAAACCCAGTTTTGTCCAAGGAACTCACATTTTTGTCCTGAACGAGTAGCTTACGGCGTGCAGGGGGGGTCTTGATATTCTTCAGGGACCGGACCATTTCAAAGGGATGACGATGACTGGTAAAGACGACAGCATTTTGACACAGGCTCACCAATCGGGGATCATATCCGTGGGATTTCATGAGCACAGTGGTACCGGACTGATTGGCCCTCTCATTCAAGGACGCGGCATTTTCCTGTTGGACAGAACGCCTTTTGGAATCTGGGACCCCATCTCCAAAATGATAGTTCCAGTATGAATGGACGACCGGTTCGACTCCCATCAATTGGAGGGCACTGACAATGAAGGCATCTTGAGTCGTACTTCCACACCTAGGGGCACCGGCAGAAATAATGACCAAACTGCACTGGAGAGAGGATGGGTAGGGCGGTAAATCTTTGAAGTCGTCCTTCAAGGTGATGTGTGGTTTCAATTCTCCACAAATCTCCTCCTCTTCTTTGGGTGACTTTTTTTGTGATGTGGGGCACAAATAACTCAACCCAGACTTCACTTTATCATCCAGTTTGTTCGGAGCTTTGTTCTTTTGACTTTTTCTTTCTCCTTCTGATTTGCCCTGACATGCTGTGGCCATCCGCCAGGTGTCCTCTCTTTGTCGATTGTTAAGACATTGCAAAAACGCCAATGTTGTTAATACCAACATCAAGAGTACCAGTACATTTCCTTTTCGAACTCTCATCTATCTATGGTGGTCTATCTTTCTATCGTTTCTGTTTTGTTTAAATCAATCCTCAGCCAGTTTAGTTATGCATACACATACTAGTACTAGCACCATAACCTCCCTACTCTAAACCCCATTTCACTCAATATTTTTAATTAAACATTGTCAGATTATTATTGTGGCCGGTCAGAGCCAATTCACACTCCAAATTGATGGATCAAAGATGGAAGTAGTGAAGTTGGGAAAAGGCAACGCTTTAATCTAAGTGGTATGTTACCCTTTGTGCCCATTGGTGTATCCAACCGTTAAGTCATTGTCTACTAAAAAGAAGTCACATCGCCATCCGTTTTTGGATGGTCAGAACATGAAGAATGCATTCCCGACAAACGGAAAGAGGGGAGAGGAGATTGACAAGCGATCCGGATCCGGACGGCAAAGTCCAAAAAATCCAACAGGCCACCAACCCTGGAGTCCTCCACCGAGCACACTGGCAAACATTATCCAGCAGGTTCTTCTGAGGATAGGAAAAGCGCGCACTCCTCTTAGGCTGTCTCTGAGTGTAAAAGGAGGATCAAAGAAAGAAAGGCACTCCCCGGTCGAGCAACCGTAAGAGGAAGTCTCGTATGATTGGTAGAGACAAAGATGCCCATGACAAGCATGTGGATTCTCTGAAAGATAGTGAGAAGGTCACTTACTACATAAGCTTGTACGAGGAGGAAGAAAAAGAAGACTGAGGAAGCCGACAAGGAGGAGCCTGATAAGGAATGGGAACCTGACAACTTCGATATGGAAGAGGCCCTTGGCAACAACACGAAGGGGAGTAATGATTATATACTAGCTTCCGGCTGTTTCAAGAAGAATACCTGGATTGACAAGAATTTTAGCAGCGAGAAATCGGATTAAGCCATTGCCTATCTTGTATTGGATCGACTGGGCAAGAAAGCCTTCTTGTTGAGCGGCGACCGTAAGAAGGACAAGGGTAAGTTCTCTCTACTCGATCGGGAACCTTTTGGTCGTCTAATTGCCCAGTGCAACTGACCAATCTGGAACAGTTGTTCTTCTCTTTCTTTACAGTAATCAAGGAAAGGCGCGCCGCATGGGTGGCCCATTGGAAAGATGCTATCACGGCAATCATGAACGAGCAACGCAACTTCGTCGTGTACCAGATGTACATCAAGACCGAGGACTTTGGTGCTGCACATGGACCCGACAAGATGCCAACTCCGGAACAGGCTCAAAGTGTGGTGATGCGGGAGGTTTCTCTTGAAGACCTTGCCCAAGATGGCAGTGCACAAGAAAGGGCAGCGCGTGAGGAAATCAAGCTGCATTCTTCCCTTTACAAGGAGAAGCTTTTGCCATGTGTTGCGGTGCATCCAGCTGGTTTACGGAGTCAATCCGCCACAACCAGTTGTTTAGTGTGGCCAAGTGGAAGGGAAACGCTGTTTGTTCCTCCCGGATCTGAGCAATGACCCTCCTCATCAACGAGAACTCCTACACCAGATGGAACTCTGCTTCCAGCCTGGGAACAATGACTGTGGCAGAAAGAAATGGACTGCCCCCAAGAGCAGAAAGGACTCGGAGACAAAAAAGTTTGCTACCAAGTACTCAAACTCCAAGGTGGGCAATGCCAAGTATGGAGGTTGGTCCAATGCAGGCCGAAGGCGCTACAATGCCTTCAAGCTTGAGGTTCAGGATGCCCGTGCCAAGCCCAATGCCCAAGATGCAGAACAAAAAATGCTGAAATGGATGTTGCAATTGTGGAAAGGAAGACCCCGCCATCGGATTGCCGTGAACGAAGAAGAAGAAGAAGGGCAAGCGTTCCTCGATGATCTGGTGGACATGTGACTAGGGCCTTCCAGGTTGTCAATTGGCAGCCAAGGCCCATTGAATGGGAAGCCCTTGGCCGCCTTTTGTTTCCCCTTGGTGCTTTTTGGAGGCTTTTGTGAGAAATTTTGTTGCCCGTTCTCTCTGTTCGGAAGCCTTCCGGTGCTTTTTCGGTACCCATTGCCTCCCTTTACTTTTGCTGATCTTGTTAATTGGTCGGTGGTGGTTGCCCATCTGGTAGCCTTTTTCACCCTTTTCACCCCTTTCACCATGAGATCTTTTACGGTGATCCTCTTTTTTGGTGACTCAGTACTGCTCTATTTGGATTAGCGTTAACAATCTAGCATTTTGATATCCCACTCTTATCCTAGTCTTATCTCGTTTTAGCTGGTTTTAGTTGAAACTTGGCCCACCTGCAGGTCCATTTTGGTAGGTAACGCCTCTGCGATTAATAGCCCTCTGTGCAGGATCTATTG